CTATCGGAAATGAGCAGTGAAAATAGGAAAATATAGACTTCCACTCTACATGTATATTTTGAAGAACATACCAAAATCAGTTTTCTCTTCATGTTCTTCAAAAGAGAGGTATGTTTGGCCAAAATCAAACGATTATTCTCCTTTTTCCTCAGCTCGTCATTAAGTGAATCTCCCCAACGAAATGTGGCTTCTCTAGTTTCTGCAAGAGTGCCAGCAACTAGAGGATTCTTTAATGCTTTGGGGATGGGAGTAATTGAGGCTGATGCTTTAAGCCTGGCCAGCTCTTCCTGTTCCTGCTGAGTAATTGCGTGTTGTTGCTGTTCCACCAAGACCTTCCTTACTTTAGGAGTCACGAAGTCATTTCCCCTATAGAAAATAATATACTCCTTGTTCCTCGAAACAAGTACTCCTCCTGTCAATTTCTGCATGTGTTTTGTTACAAAGATTCAAGACACACGTTCTCATGAAAAAACATGCATAGGCTGTATTGTGAGCAGGGACACAACGATCATATTCAGAGTCCAAAGCATACTTCAGAAGAATCAACAGGGGAAGATAAAACATCGCACAGTACGAAAAGGAGATACAGCAACAAATATATCCATTCATGGATTGCTTTCTCAGCAACTCACGCTTCAAGGTTTCAAACAGTATGATATATGCAATACATAAGGGGCAATTGCTAAAATACTGCATCCTCATAAAAAATGTAAGCAAAGCCGAAAATCTGCATATAAAGCAATCTCATGTGATTTTAAGCATTTAGATAATGTGGTATAATGATCTTTAAATATGTCCGGTTTACCTTGATTTCCTCTGCCATTCGATCGTTGCATGTGTTTGGCACCCCCCTCTTGATGGCAATCTTTACAATAGAACTTTTCTCCCATACTTTAACAATAGCAGCAGCTAAGCCTTGGTGTTCCCTGTTTCTCCCTGTCCACAAATATGTAAAAATAGTGTGAAGAAATAATTGAAGCTTAAGTACAAGTAATTACAAGCAATCAACTTCACAAACTCCAGTACCTAGAGCGAAATGTGGAGCAGTTTGTCTAGCAAGTCTACGCAAAGCTGTCATTTCTTTATCTTTCAAACTAATTTTAGTCCTGTAAGGAAGTTGCCTAAATGGTGGCTTGTACCCCGGAACTAAACCGGGAAGCAAATCGGCATCGACAGGGATGGGGCTGCGACCAGACCAATCCTTGTACCGTGGTCCCAATTGATCCAAGAAGCTATCGATGTCAAACGTTTCCGTAGCTTCTTGAGAGAAATTCATGATAGATTTCGATCTTTTCACATCGTCTGCACTTGACTTTTGTGAATTGCGCTCAACAATTGGCTTTTGCAAATCATGCTCAACAGTTGGCTTTTGCAAGTTACGCTCTTCAGAGCTGGGTACAAGACCAATGGCATCGCCAGCATTTTCAGATGAATCAACTTCTGCAATTTTGGTGTATGACTGCACGCATCGAAGGTTGTAGTTCATTCCTCGATATAAGACAATCGACCTCCCTGACCTCCATATCACAGTTCCCCCAGTCCTGTCCTGATTGACAATAACAAAGACCACAAATGCCTATCAGATTTCACTGAATTGAAAACATCGTAAAATACAACACAGGCTTTTGCTCAATCAGTGGCTGTAGTGATAAGGCAAATCAAAGGGGCGAAGAAGGCCAATGCAACGGGTACCTCTAGTATCTCATGGGTTCTCTTCATGTTCAGGCTCGGAGGCCCTTCAAACCTCATCTTGACCACCTCGTCCACCTTCCATTTACTGTGGATGCTCTCCACAATGGCATGTGTAACCCCTCCTGGACCAATCCTCATCCTCTCCTTCATCCTCAATGCCGCGTCTCTAAGCCTCCGCAGCTCTGGTTCTGGGATAGTCCTCTCTGCCAACTTGGTGTTGCTGTGCCTCCCTCGCTTGTCACCATCAAACGCATTCCCCTCCTCCCTCTCCCATGGAAGGAGCACAGAACCCAGCTTCTGGACAAAATCTTCCCCCTCGGAGCTCCCAATTGTGGCACTGGCACTTTCCTCCATCGAATTCCTGAGTGTGTTGACAATTGAGCTTACACTGCTTCGCCTGATACTCCTGTCCAACCCACCGCCTGTGGAACCTTGGTCCAGTATAGAATCCAGCGGAAAAGAAGAACTTGTTGTCGGCGCGGCAGGATCCTCATCCTCATACAATTCCTCTTCTAAGTTCACTGTCATTGGCTCTTCTTCCAATACCTCACTATTGTCCACCCATTCTTCGTCTTCATCCTCCGAATCTAGCTCATCATCGAACACACCGTTCCTGACAGCCTCTTCCTCGTCTCCACCCACCGGACCCGAAAGCAGCCGGTCGACGACGGTGGGTCCTTCTTGCCCGTGCATCCACGGCGCGGAGACCGGCCGGCTCCCAAGAAGGTAGGTCGGTTGGGAACGCGACTCTTCGTCCCGGTCCTGGGCCGCCTCGCCGTGTGCCACGCCGTCATTGCCCTTGTCTTTGCCCTCTCCGACATCGCCGCCGCCATCCTCCGAGGAGTCGTAGTCGAAGTACTCGACGATGGACCGCAGCGTGGCGCTACTGGGCTCATGATCCTCCGCGCCCTCGTCTTCTCGGTGAGACGGCTGCGGCTGCTGCCGCTGCCAGGGGAAGGAGGCGCGCTGGGAGGGCGCCCTCGCAGACCAGCGGCGGAGTGCCTGCTCCTCGAAGCTCGGCTTCAGGTTCCTCTTAGTCTTCTTCTTCCTTATCTCCGTGCCGCCGTCTAGCGCCGGCGCCTTGTACGGCGAGGAGGTGGATGGGGAGGGCGCTGAAGCGGGAGGGCGAGGGGAGGAGACGCTGCTGATGCAGGTGGTGCGCCGCGGCCGCGTCGATCGGAGAGTGGAGGGGAAGGGGGGTTTGGGTGAGAGGGCCGGGGGCGGGAAGAGCAGTGCCATTGGAGGGAGGAGCAGAGCTTTGGGGACGGAGTGTGGGGAGATGACGAAACGAGGAGGAGGATATCGTGGGTTTACCTTGTTGGACCTTATTTGGGCCCCCGGTGTCTTCTTTTTGGGCCTGCTGGGAGTATCATTATCCATATAAGTCCTTTTGCTAAAGAAATAAAATTATACTCCCTCCGTTCCCAAAGCTCTGCTCCTCCGTTCCCAACAAGTGACTACATACGGAGCAAAATGAGTAAATCTACACTCCAAAACATGTCTATATACATCCGTATGTGGTAACCATTTGAAATCTCTAAAAAGACAAATATTTAGAAACGGAGGGAGTATAAGTCTTTCTAGAGATTTTAACAAGTAACTACATACGGAGCAAAATGAGTGAATCTACACTTTAAAATATGTCTACATATATATGTATGTTATAGTTTATTTAAAATATCTAGAAAAACTTATATTTAGGAACAAAGGGAGTACTATATAGGTCAACCTCCTAATCGGGACAAATATCTTAAGTCACTACTGAGCTCCTTGTGAGTGGAGCCTCCTCATGTAAAAAAAAAGAATGGAGCCTCATGGTGCATCGAGGTAATTGCATTCGTGAGTGAATTGGTTGTGCGATGCGGTTGAGCCTATCTGCAGGTGAATGTGGCGATCCTACATTGATCCATAGACAAATCATTAAATTCGTGAATATTTTTTAGTTCATGAATATTTTTAAAATCTGTGAATATTTCTGAAATGGATGCAGGGAGGGGCATTGTTGAAAAAGTCTAAAAAAAGACTCTCCTTGAGGGCATGTACAATGGTGGCATATGAATACAGATGCCCCATGACAAAAGTAGTTTGAGGCACCTACATTTATTTTTTTTTCCCAATGCAAGCTACTACTAGTGGGCCTCATTAAGAAATAGAAAATAAAGACTTTACACATGCATCTCTACTTTCCACTCCAACCTTTCCAGCTTTTGACCCCGGACCACACCTCCTGGAGAGGATCCCGCTTCCCTATCCGAACCTAATTTACGTCATATCCGATCCTACATGGCATGCGAGGCATCACCCTGGGGCTATGCATTGTACATGCCCTGATAGTCTTCTTCATTTAGTCCCAGAAAAGCAACTTTTAGTCCCTAGTAGTCCCTCCTGTTTGGTTAAAAAGTCTCTAAGAGAGACTTTTTCTAGTCCCTACACCAAAAAATCCCTAAAAACAAACACCCCCTTAGAAAAGAACAAATAGCAGAAAGCAAACACATGTGGGAATAGTAGGAATGTTCTATATTTCCTGAAGTTGCATGGTAGCATCTGAGAAACAACTCCAGCAAGTCTATCTGATGGTCCAAACCAACACTGAAAACTTTACATGCAGGAAGAGCTGCAACTCTTTAAGACAGGGCAGCTCACTATTGGATCCACAAAATTCATTTTTATAAAGACAAAAAAAGGGGCATGAACCCACAACTTCTATCGGCAGCTTGCTACAGCCTTGCGATCCACAGTTGAGCAAAATGATGCAGGGCAGTCCTTGTGCAGAAGCAATTTATCATTCAGTCTGTCCCCGGCATCGCAACTGGAAGTCGACACAGCTCCGAGCACTTGTAGCCACCATCTTTAGTCCTACTACTAGTAGCATGTTCAGTGCAAAGCTCCATACAAGCTAATCATTGCATATTTGTATCCTCCAGGTCCATGTGAAGATTTCAACAGGAGAATGTGCAACGCCAAAATGCTTGATTCTGCGGAATTTGTCATAACAAAGACCAACAGTTAAACCTCATGTTATAGCCAGTACAATCTCATTTAGAAAGAAAAAAAGAGTAAAACGTACCTGGACACTTCATACTACTCTTTCAAAGTCTCCCAAACACCCAAAAAGGGTCAGCTATTGGAGTTTATATGTTCTTCAAAATGCAGTAACAAATAATAGTTCAACTGGCACAGAAAATAAACACTACATGTCGTCAGCGAGTGCAAGGTCACCAGAGGTAAAGCGAGTGAGCACTGCCATTATAGGACTGATTTCCATCGGATACGAACATTAACATCGCCAGTCACCGAAAACCAATAACTTAGTAAAGCCTGTGACAGCAATCAGCGGAACCACACAAGCACTCCTTTACCTTCTCCACACCATTCTTGTCACGGACTTGACCTATTGTATAATTGTAGTGGTAAGTCAGCTCTTGAAGCGGAGGAATGTTCTCAGCAGCAAAAAACATAATGTGCGGCATCCTCTTGTCATCATGGTCCCAGAGGACATTTTGGGCATACAGGTTTGGGGAGCAGCTATGGTTGATGAATCTTCCGATGTTACCGCACTTTGCAGCATCTATTGTGAAGCCCACAGTCTCCTCCATTGTCTCAGAGGTAGAAGATTCTAAACCTGGAATCATCGATGGAAGCCCCTTCCAAAGTTCTTCATCATCGTAGTTATGACCAATATCAAACAGGTACTCATCGTTCTCTCTTTTCAGCTTCTGTGTCTTGCAATAGCTCACCTGCATACTCGCATATGAAACTGCCTGAAGAGATAGAACTGAGAGATCTTACACCCCAACCTGTCTCCCCAGTCTTGAATATTTCCAGCGGAATTTTGATACCATGCTGGCTCGCCCTATTGTGGCATGTTGGAGGGCACCTGCATGCAGTTTTCAGCATTTAGTTAGCTCACTAATTCCAATGAAATTTTGTGACTTCAATTTAACCTAAACGTCCAATGCAAAAGAATACTGCCAACCATATTCAGGTGAACAAGTTTGGTTTATGAGCCAACTTCAGGTAAGCAAGTTTGGTTTATGAGCCATTTCTCATATTTCACCAACATCTAGGACAGAACATATACTTAGACTCGGTACAAGATTTGTCTATAAGTTTTAGTAACAATAAGAAACATTTCCAGGTTCTGCAAATTAGATTCTTTAATCTAAAGAACAAACTAAAATAAACTCAAATGGTTATTGTCTAGTTAGGTTACAAAAATAACAACTTACCTGCAAGATGGGCCACACTCATATATGAGCGGCTTTGCGTGAACAATTGCACCATTAAAATTGAATGGGATTTCTCCTCCATTCTTCACTGCACAAGCACATCTACTAGAGTCCGAGCAACCGTCGGTGCAATCACAGCCTTGCGGAGGTTCTTTTGCATACGACGGTGGATATATGACTTTGGTGATATACTCAAATGGTGTTGGCTGCGCGTCATCAATTGTGTTGATCACACATATGGGAATCCTTTCTTTCTCTAGAGATATATCAGGACAGCGAAGACCTTTACGAACTTTAGACATCCTTGTTTCCTTGACTATGTGTAAAGCTAATTCAGGTTGACCCGGGATCCTTTTTAACTTGTACTTGAAGACCATCGAGCCACTTGCTCCTTCTTGCCAACAATCCATCACCACATATAACCCATCATAAGTGTATGTCGATATTTGCTTGGATTTAGAATGCCCAACTTCACTTCTACTTTGACCTTTGAACCCATGAATCACTCGGACCGGAGTCTTAGTTTTGATGCAATTCTTCAAGGCAAGATTACCACCCTTAAGCTTTTGATCCTCTGCCTCCTTCTTGCCGGTGGCTTTACCTCCGGAGCCGGTATATATTAACTCGTCCGAGCTAGACAACTCATCGGGATACCCACCGGAAGCGACAATGCTTATTGCAATGCGGGTACCATCCACAATGGCGGAGTCAATGCCACCTTGGTATATCCTATGTAGTCCAACTATCGACAACTCAACTCTAAAATGAAATTCATCACCAACAACAACACCGGGAACATTGCCCACGATAGCATCAGGTTTAGAATATCCATCATACTTCTTTAGAACTTCAACGGCCTCAAGGTCAATCCTTCCAACATTACGTAATTGTTGTTCCTCGGCTTGCATAAGCTTCCGACATATCAACTGGAACAACTTGAGCAACTTCCTAACTTTGCTTCGAGCATCAACACTTTGGTCCCCAAAAGGAGCACAAGGAGGGAGAGTGACACACAATTCTTTCCTTTCAGGGACAACTAATGCCATAGGGTTGTCATCATCTTCCAAGCAAGAGTACTCTCCATGCTCAATTTTCTCATGCACGGCCGATGTAGAAGGTGTCACTTTGGGGGGCAATTCTTTCCTTGGAGTAGCGTCCTTTTTCTTTGGTTTCTTAGGAGGAAGAGACTTGTTCCTAGGAGTAAGAGAGTTGGAAGCACTAGCATTAGACTTCCTTCCTTTTGTCCATGGGCATTTGTCTGGAGCCATCAATGCTTGTACGATTAGCTTGTCACTAATTAAGGTCAAATCATCGGTTTCTTCACTTTGATTGGTCATATCATGATTTCCACACTTGGACTCCTTAGAAGAGCTGATCAAAGAGTCCTTGCCTATGCCATAACTCTTCAACTTCACAACGCCATGCTCCGTGTTACTATTTGAGCGCACATCATCTCTTGAATTCCTGTTTTTCAGCGTGCCGTCTCCAGAGACCCCAACATCATCTCGCAATGTATCATTCATTGCGACATTCTTTGGTCGCTTGCCCTTTGTCTTTGCATCAACAAAACGACTTCTCACATAAGTCTTAGGAGTACCTTTCCGCAAGCTTCCATCGAATTTGCCTCTCACCTCACCATCACCCGCTCCTACAACCTCTGCTCTTTTGCCTTGCACCTCCTCACTGGAAGCATCTCTCACGACCATCGAGGAAGCACCATGACCTGAAACTGGAGCCGTGGTCAAGGCATCCACTACAGAGGCGCCCCTTGTAGCGAAACTGATAGGCGTGGCTTCCAATACTGACCCTTCCTCAACTCTGCTGCCAGTTCCAGTAACAGCATCCCTCCCACAGCCAGGTGGAAAATTGCGTACAGCTGAGATGGCCCTCCTCTTGGGAGGGGGATTTACAGCAGACATCAACCACCTCTTCTTTCTCACTGTATCATGCCCATCCTCTTTTCTCTCCAATTCACCATTACCCGTTCTGTTTTCCATCACACTGCCATTGCCATTGCCAGCCACATCCTCCTCCCTGACCAATCGACCACTCCCCAGGCCTCTGTTCCCCTCCATCAGCAATGACTCAGCCCCATCTCCCCCATTCTCGACGGAACCATTGGCAGCAGCAACAGCAAAACTCTTCGGGGCAGCAAACGCCAGCGGCATCACCTCGATCGCGCTGCTTTCTGCCTGACCGCGGGCATCGCCACCGCTGGACGATTGCGCCTCTCCACCTTCCTTCCTCACCACCACCATGGTCTCCGGCTGAAGCGGCGTGTGTGGAAGATCTCTGTTACTTGCCACAGAGGGAACATCGGCAGTATCCATGTGTGCCTCTCCACCCTCCTTCCTCATCTGCACCATCCCCTCGGTCTCCGGCTGAGGCAGGGCGTGCGGGAGGTCACCGTTGCACACCACGGGGGAAACACCGGCCCTGTCCATGTGTGTCTCTCTGCCCTCCTTCCTCTCCTCTGGCATCGTCTCCGGCTGAGGCGGGGCGTGAGGGAGGTCGCCGTTGCACGCTGCCGATGAAACAACGACGGCGTCGATTGCATCTCCAACCTCCTTCGTCCTCTCCGCCAACCCTTCAGTATCCGGTTGAGGCCGGGCCGCCGCCGAGGCAACGCCCGCGTGACTGGCCGCCTCCTCCACTCTGCCCTGGATGACGCCATTGGTGGCGCCCCTCTCGCCGTCGCCGGCCTCGGGGGCAGGCGGAGCAGCGCGGAAGCGGCCGCAGCCGGGCGGCCAGGAGCGCCTGGCGGAGACCCTCCTCGGCCTGACCCCGCGGGCCGCCAGCCGCGCGGCGATGGGCGTCCGCGAGGGCGGCGCCGGCGGCTCCACCCCCACCATCAGAACACAAGCCCCTACAAATCCGGATAAAAGAAAGGTACTTTAATCAACCCCGACGAAAAAGATAAGAACCAAACCCTAAAATTCAGATTCCGCCGCATATCCCGCAGCGGGACGGTCCGACGAACTACTACCGTACCAAGAGGAGCCGACGCATTCACCTTGCACAGACGTCAGACGGGCCGCCGCGGCGGCGGCGGAGGCGGTGTTGGCTGTTGGCGATGTGGGTGGAGAGCGAGCGAGCGAGAGAGGCGGAGGGAAGTGGAGAAGCTGACTCCCGGATTCCGACGAGCTGGCGCTAGGCGACCATTAAAGCCTGCGACGGACGGAAGGGGGGTGCTCCTAGAATTTGGGGGCCCCGATGATGCTCTGCTTGTGCATATCTATGTTTGGAGAAATTCTCAAAACAAAACAAAATACTATGTTTGGAGAAGAGAAATATGCCCGGTGTATTTATAGAAAGTATTCATGCGTAGATACAACTTTCCTAAAAAAATTGATTGTGCCAATATTTGATTTTTATTTCCTTATATAAATGAAGAAAGATTTGGTCTTTTAAAGTCTGACGTAACCGCGAACCAATCTGTGGTTGGATGGTTAGGAGAACCGTGGTATCCCCAGCCCACCAAGGTTCAAATATGATATGCCGTCTCAGTCTCTCGGAGGTATTTATAGGAGTTGGTAGACTGGTACGGTCTTTTTCGTCCGATTTTATTTCGTCTCACTTCCCACCACCCCTTCCGCTGGTTTTTCGCCCTCCCGTTAAAAAAACAAATCCCATTAAGGGATCTTGTTTCGTGCTTGCCTTGGCAGGTGCTGATTCAATTCAATTACATAAATAACAGGTAATTCAGAATTCAGAAATCGCATCATATATGTAAGATCACCTTCCTAAAAGATAGACATAAGATTTTTCTTGATAACCTTCCAAAATAAAATCAGATATTCCCGCATAACAAATCACTACTCCGGTGTGCTATGCCATTTATTATTATCTCTACTATTAATTGGCAATCACAAGTTTCCTAATACAATCTCTACTTTTAACGGAGGAGTTGGTAGCCTGGTATGGTCTTTTTTTTGTTCGGTTTTATTTCGTACCACCTCTCACCACCCCTTCCGCTGGTTTTTCTCCCTCCCGTTAAAAAACCAAATCCCATTAAGTGGATTTTGTTTCATGCTTGCCTTGGCAGGTGCTAATTCAATTCAATTACATAAATAACAGGTAATTAAGATAGAAATCGCATCATATATGTGAGATCACCTTCCTAAAAGATATACATAAGATATTTCTTGATAACCTTCCAAAACAAAATCAGATATTCCCGCATAACAAATCACTCCGGCATGCTATGTCATTATTATTATCTCTACTTCAATTGGCAATCACAAGCCTCTTCAAGCTGAAGCCCTTGCTTTTCTTCTTGCAGCTCAAATTGCTCACAGGCTTCACATTAATAGGCTTACTTTCCTCACTGATTGTCTCTCCTTGGCAAAAGCGGCAGCAGAAAGAAGTGTTTTGGTTGATTCTACCCCTTGGTCCATCAGAAAATATCTTGCTGAATTTTTCTCTCTTACTAAAGATCTCCAAGCACGGGTGTTTCATATATCAAGAGAGATCAATGGCATAGCTCACAATGTGGCCCATCAGGTTCTTAGATGTTCTATAGAACCTAACATTAGTTGTTTTGCTTCAGCTCATTCAAATAGGACATGCCCTGTAGTTTCCCTCCTTTCCAATATCAATTTTCAGGGCTATGTACTTCATGCTGTAAGATGTTATTGAGCTGGATAAAAATGTTGGCGCTTTGTGCGCCTTTCTCTGTTAAAAAAAAGTTTCCTAATACAACAAAAATAACATATCTTTTTTCTTATGGGCGTATAATCAACAGGCTCTCAACGACATAGCCGAGCACCGCTTGCCAACATAGACAACAACCACGATGAGCTCGCGACATGGGCGATCTAGCGTTCACCGTGATGGATGACGACTATGCTCTACAGGATGTACACACGCCGACTGTTGTCGAAACGTTCGCGGGTGAGGACAACATGACACAACATTGGTCAGGTGGTTCATGCTATTGTAGAAAACAGGGGTGTTCTAAGCATATAAGAATGAAAAAGAACTAAAGCCACCAAGTGGTCTACGGTGTTGGAGAAAGAAAGAATGTTCCAAGAAACAAAACAAAAAACGAAAGAAATAACATTCGAGAAAATAGTTAGGAATGAGAACTAAAGCTAGCAAGGAATGAGAAAGAGGAAGATGAGGCGTTGATGACGAACACACTAATGTTGACATGCTGCTGGTTGGCGAAGAGGCTAGAATTAGAAGATGCAGGGGAGGATGAGAAAGAGAAGAATGACAATTATCTCTACTTCTAATGGATGAGTTGATAGCCTTGTATGGCCTTTTTTCGTCTAGTTTTATTTCATCCCACCTCTCACCACCCCTTTCGCTGGTTTTTCTCCCTCCTGTTAAAAAACCCAATCACATTAAGGGGATCATGTTTCATGCGTGCTTTGGCAGGTGCTTATTCAATTCAATTACATAAATAACAGGTAATTAAGAATTCAGAAATCGCATCATATATGTGAGATCACCTTCCTAAAAGATAGACATAAGATTTTTCTTGATAACCTTCCCAAACAAAATCAGATATTCCCGCATAACAAATCACTACTTCGGTGCGCTATGCTATTTATTATTATCTTTACTATTAATTGGCAATCACAAGTTTCCTAATACAATCTCTACTTCTAATGGAGGAGTTGGTAGCCTGGTATGGTATTTTTTCGTCTTGTTTTATTTCGTACCACCTCTCATCACCCCTTCCGCTAGTTTTTCTCCCTTCCGTTAAAAAACCAAATCTCATTAAGTGGATCTTGTTCCGTGCTTGCCTTGGCAGGTGCTGATTCAAATCAATTACATAAATAACAAGTAATTAAGAATTTAGAAATCGCATCATATATGTGAGATCACCTTCCTAAAAGATAGACATAAGATATTTCTTGATAACCTTCCAAAACAAAATCAGATATTCCCGCATAACAAATCACTCCGGCATGCTATGCCATTATTATTATCTCTACTATCAATTGGCAATCACAAGTTCCCTAATACAACAAAAATAACATATCTTTTTTCTTACGGGCGTACGATCAACATGCTCTCAACGACATAGCCGAACAGTGCTTGCCAACATGAACGACAACCATGATGAGCTCGCAACATGGGCGATCTAGCATTCACCGTGATGGATGACGACTATGCTCTACAGGATGTACACACGCCGACTGTTGTCAAAATGTTTGCGGGTGAGGACAACATGACACAACATTGGTCAGGTGGTTCATGCTATTGTAGAAAAGAACTAAAGCCACCAAGTGGTCTACGGTGTTGGAGAAAGAAAGAATGTTCCAAGAAATAAAACAAAAAAAGAAAGAAATAACATTTGAGAAAATAGTTAGGAATGAGAAAGAAGAAGATGATGCGTTGATGACGAGCATACTAATGTTGACCTGCTGCTGGTTGACGGAGAGGCTAGAAGAAGATGCAGGGAAGGACGAGAAAGAGAAGAATGACAATTATCCCTTGTAGCAATGAATGGTATGCAGGCTAGAGGTGGAGCATATTGATGACTAGGAATATGTTCACATTTTCACTCGCCTCCTACGTCAGTGTGCATTTGCAAAGTTGAATGGACCTTTGAGAATGATTTCTATAATTACTTGTTGTTTTGTGTTGATAGTATGTGTTAGGTTAACCTACTCTATTATATTATAAACATGAAAATTTTCATCCGTGTTGCAATGCACGACGATAATGAGGTGGACATCATCTGATTTTAAAGGAAGTGGCTCCGGTAAGAAATGTCCCGCTACAACGGGACACCGAGCAGGAAGGGGAGGTTCCGACAGAAAAGGGGAAGATGCATCGTAGGATGGGGTTTTGGTGTTGGACCCGTATGTTGAAGATAACATGGTGGATAGCCCGTAGCAACGCACGGGCATTCTGCTAGTAAGGGTAGGATGTGTGTGTGTGCGTTTATTGGGGTTATGAGCGCTTGCGTCTGTACTGTGTTAAGAAAAAAAGACTGACCTAACTGGCCCGACCTAATTTTTTGGGATCTTTGGTTCCGCAAAATTCACGTCTCCTTAAATCTGGTTTCTAGGCCAATTGTCATAAAAAGTACTCCATCTATCCCATAATATAAGAGTGTTTTTGACACTAGTTTTCATCATTGCACAAAGAATAACTATACTATTGGTTTCGGGTTTTTTACCAATCTGAACCTAAAATATATATTTTCATAATATAAGTATCCCAGAAGGAAAATAAATCACCCTAATAACATTCGACCGTCCAAGGAACCAATGGCAGAGACAAAAAATTTGGATTGGGATGAGGGTGGGGGCAAGTGCTATTAAAATAGGTTGAGGAGGGCCAAACCTTAAAAGAATATAAGACCTTTTAGTGCAGTAGACATTTATCAGTATAAAAGTTCCAATTCTGCATTGTTTATTAGTAATTTGACAGCAGATTCATAATGATATTGACTCGACTAGATGGCGAGTCGTTCTTGGTCCGATCTTTCACGGTACTAGCGGAGAAAAACAAAAACTTC